TTTTCAACTTTGCCAAAAAATAAATCTAAAGGCTAATGTAAATACATAATCTAAAGTAGTTTTTTTTTAGAGTTGTCATCACTTGTCCAATCACTATCACACAAGCTTTAAATTTTATATTGATATTTAATAAAAAAAATTACTTTGATAAATAATTTTAAAATTTAATGTGCCCTTAAGGTATTATATAATATGTTTTATTAAGGATTAATATGTATGACTTAGATTGGTTGTAAATATGGCAACTTGACCAGCAACAAAAATAATATCAAGCCTAGTATGAATCATGGCATGTATTAAACATCCTACATCAATCAAATATTAAACATTCTTTATTGTTTCTATATCCTTAGAATCAATTAGATTCATGTCTTTAGTTAGTTCTGATCTATCTTCATAAAGGATTGAAACAAGTTAATAATCATAGATATTAAATTTTGTAAGGACTTTAGTTTTATATTTAATTTGTAATAATTCAATAAATTTGTTGATTTTATTGCATTCAACTATCATGTTTAAACAACCATTTCTACTTTTGATGGATCCTTTGTTAGCTATTTTAAAGCTATTTTTAAAAAATATTTAATAATTTTATATTATTAAAAATAATTATAGAATTTTTCACATATAATGCCAACATGAAAAACTTTTGTTGCACTATCTCTCTTTCAATCTATATATTAAAATCTACTATACTATAAGAAAACTATTTTTAATAAAAAAAAAATGCTTAAACTATTTATATAATATATGAAAAGTTTATTTTAATCCATATATATAATTTAATAACTTACAAAATTTATTTGAAAACCAACAATCAATTTAATCCTTTGGTTTAGCTATTTTATTTTTTTCATTCGAGTGAAAATGAAGAAATATGTTTATCAAGTTTTAACATCCATTTAATGAACATAAAAACTATATATTATTGATAGGAACAATAAAATAAATAATAAACTTATTTTAACCATATCTTTGTATAATCAACATTTTTTTTTGTAAATAATTTCAAAGAAATATATTTTTTATATATTATTAATTATTTTAATTAATTAGTAATTTATAATAAAAAATCAAAAATATAATGATAGAAGATAATATTTTTATATTTTATTAATTAAATAATTAAAATTTATTATATTCTAAGATTTATTGTCTTTAACTCTTTTTTTATAATTATTATTTACATATAAAAATAATTTATGTCTTTATATAAAAATATATTATTTTAAATAAAATTTCAAAATAAAACTATAATTTGGTATTTTTTGAATTTATAAATAAATTTTATACATAAATATATATATATATTTATTATTTATCAAATTGAAAAATATATATTTTTAAATTCTATATTAATAGATAACTAAATTCTTTATTTAGATTTTATTTTAAAGTTTTATTAGTTATACTTTTTAAAAGTCCATTATTAAGTAATATTTTTATATTTTAATACTACATTGTTATTTTGAAAAAAAAACAGAATGATTTAATAGCTTTAATGTGTTTTTTTTATATGATTTCCATAAATCCATAGCAACCTATGGTTATTTTAATAATTCAGATTTGAATTAGTTAAACAAAAAAGTGATCAATATAATAAACCTTCCAAATAAAAATAAATTTGGACCAATAAAAAATAGTGATTAAACAAACATTTATTGCCATACATAGAATAAGATATGGTTTTACAAAAGCAGTTGTTCTATCTATTATTAATTTTGAAATTATAATAAAATAAAGGACTCTCTATACATAGAAGCCTACTTTGAAAGGCCAAAGTTCAAAAGCCTCACCAACGTCTCTCACTTAATAATAAAAAAAACCCCAAGCTAAGCCTTTTCTTTTAGACATAGTGTAAAGTTAAAATAAGCCATGAAATAGACTAAATTATTTATTTTTTACAAGTATATTTATGTCAACCTATATCTTGATTCAAACGATTATAAAAAAATAAAAAGAGATTATTCTAGCATTTTTCTAACACGGCTTCTCAATTTGTTTTTAATATAACATCTTGGAGATGAACCAAATGGAAATTCTAATGGAAAAGGCTATTACCATGTAAGAAAAAAGAATATTTCATCTCATTTTTTTTTTTTAGAGCTTTTGGAGATACTTTTCTAAGTATTAAGCCAACTTAAGAAGGCATCTTAATCTTAGCCAAATAAAATATTCAAAAATTAAGACCACTCAACTTGTCCACTATTTATAAAGTTCTCCTAGAAAAAAAATCTTTGTGCACATCCATGTGCCTCCATTTAATATTGTTCACAATGTATGCTTTGTCTTCTTCCTTCTTCACTTGCAAGGTATATCTTGTAATAGAATCAATATGGGCACTACATCATTGGGCTTTTATTTTTCTAAATTACTTCCACATACCAAATATCCTTGTTCAATGCCTCCTATTCAATGGTTATTGACTCAAATTATGCTCTCAAGGTTCCAAGAAGCCTTCATCTTTTAAAAGCCTCCATCTGATTTTTATTCTCAATGCTATTGAGACTATTTTTATTTTATTTTATTTTTTATCCTTGGATAAGTAGTGGATTGTGTTTATTTTATTGGGTTTACTCAAATGAACTAACAACATTGAAGGTCCTTACAGTCTTTTCAGCATTCAACATTCAGATGCATTCTAGAAGAATTTATCATAAAAAAGGTAGTTGTTTGCCATGGTAAAACTATTTATAGTATATTATAAAAAAACGTTTATTGTGAGGAAATGATGTTTTCGTTGCTGATAATATTGTATTACTTTGAGGTTTCATGATAGTAATGCACTTTGTCATCTATTTTACTGCACACAAAAAATAAATAAAATGAAAGAAAGAAGTTGGATACTCAAATGAAACTCAAATATCATGACACACACAAACAACAAAATTTTCATTTGTACATGCATACATACATCTACTCAATTTTCTAAAAACTAATTAAAGTAAAATAGTAACCTTTTTAAACCCAAGATCATTACCTCTCAAATTGTGAATGATTAATCTCTTGAGCCCCCATTCATTCATATATATCATTACCTTTGGACACTTCAAAATTGAACAAGTTAAAATTCCAGTTATTCTAAATCATATTCTGTTACTATAAACAGCTTATTGTATAATTTTCTTTTCCATATATTTTATGATTTTTATTTTTTCCTCTTATATATATATATATATATATATATGATTTCATCAACTGAAATGAATCACATTGATTCGTTGATTATAATAACAATAATAATATCAACATGGTTACAACATGGTTTATACCACTTCCAACTTTTTCCCACAATTGTTTTGTTTCATGTGTGTTGTTTTAAGGAACTTTAAATCTTCTTTTTGCACATTTGAAGTAATATTTGCATCAAGTTTCCTCACACATATGATTTATGGTAATAAAATTACACTTCTATGCAACATACATGCACACAAAATGTTCATAAAAAATTAGGAGAAATCAAACTTGTCAACTTGAACCATGTCTTTGTTGGTTACAATGAAATGTCTCTCATTAGATTGCTTATTTATTTATGTATTTCAAAGTAGTGACTGTGAGGGCTGAGTGCATCTTTATAACGCTGAGTGGGCAAAGTCACATTATTCACCTCAAGCTTCATGAGAGGCGAAAGCATAAGAGCTTTCAACTTATGCCCACAAGATTGCCACAGATGTGGGATAAAAGTAAAAAGAAAGAAAAAGAATGGAAAAAGCAACCCCCATGTTTTGTTCAAGTTCTTCACTAAGTGTTCCATGGTTTCATAAACGACATTAGTTAAGGCAGTCTTCTATTACACTTTGTATAGTATTTTTAATAATTAAATATTATCTTTTCAGGTTTTCATTAAATTCAATACTTATTTCTCCAATGATAATGTTTTATTCTTTTCCTTTTTCCTTTTTTCTTTTACGTTTTTGTTCTTAGTATTCAAATTATTTTCATTGTTTGTGAATTTTTTTGTAATAATTTTTTTTTTGTGTGTGTATGTATGTATATATATATATATATATATATATATATATAATCAAAAAGGGCGTTTTTCTTAGAGTTTTTGTGAATTGTTGAATGTTTTTAATATTTTGTTTTATTTTTGAAACAGACCAAAGTATTTTACAAGAAACAATATCAATTGTCAACACACTGCCCAATATAGAATAATAATTTGAACCATTATTATCCAATTACTTAGTGATTTTCTGCATCGTGCTTTCTTCTTTAACACACCATTCACAGTGGTATAAAAGTATAAAAAAAACCTAAAAGTATATTTTACTAATCTTACTTTATTTAATGATCGTGCTTCTGGCAGGTGATTAGAGACAGTAAAATGATGGGTTAAGTGTTTTGAGACTCTCAAACAGAAGATGGGTCTTAAAAAATCAAATATTCTCTACCAATTCAACTATAAAATACTTACAAAATTACAATTCTTCAATATTTACTATTAGCATGATGCAAACGTTCTTCCAAGAGGAAAAGAATAGCCTGAAAAGTAAAGACTATTTCATTCGCATCCTTACATATGGATATACACATGTATACATTCATTGCACGATGTTATAAAGTATAACACCATCATACACGTTAATGTATTTTCATTAAAATAAAATAAAATAACCCAAAAAAGACGCCCCTACACGCGCATCTTGTGGCATAATTAAAAAAGGCCTACAAAAAGCAAAAGTAGGTGGCCTCTTTATAAACACATGACCCTTGGACAGGATTCATCCACTGAAAACCCGACGAAAATCCGACTGAATGTTTTCATTCGTTCACTTTTGTTATTAATTATATTATTAATAATATTTGTTTTCCTCGGGCAGGGGAATCGGGCGGGGTCGGGGGGGCGAAGAAGAAGAGCCATTCAAATCCCGGGTGATGGGACATGTCCGCCCCAATGATGGACTCTACTCATTGCACTCCGACGTGGCTTTATAGCGGGTGACAATGATCCCCCTGATGGTAATGCTCTGTTCGGATTGCAAAACCTGGAGGAGGCGCGGGGGCGGGGGGCACGGCAGTGGCCATCAACGAGGCTTCGAATCCCGCTCCCCGCACACCTCGACGAGACTTTGTTTGCTCCCCTCCCTCCGCTGCTCGCCCCTCGTGCCCCCGAATTGCACGCCGTCCACCTCTCGCTTCCAGAGCGCCCGCCGCAAGGCTTCCTCTCAGGCATTGACTGACTGTCCAGTGTTGGCCCTGTGGTCGAATTTGTGTGCGTGCCGCTGCTGCTCTAGGTCTTGCCAGCCTGCTGCGGTGCCAATCTCGCTGCATTCCATGGGAGTGCTTGCGGTCATTGGTTGCAAGCAGGCAAGCAGGGGAGAGAGATCGCTGCGGTGCTTGCCAATCTTCTTTCCGTCTCTGCTGCCGGTGAGTGTTTGTCTCTGTTTGTTTATTGATTTTCTTCTTCTTCCTCTTTTTCTATTGTTCTTCGGTTAGGGATCAGGATCTAATTCAGCGGATGAGAGTGTTGTGAAGTGGTTGGAGTATTGATTGGTGTGGATTTTGTGGCGCTGCGTTCTTATTCTTTTCTTTTGTCTTTTTAGTGAGTGGTTTGAATGCGTAGAACGTGGTGAATGTTGTGGCGATGGGGGCGTCGTTCAGGCTTTGGATCTCTGGTTTGATTGTACTTCGTGTCCTGGCATGGTGCTGTAATCGTGATGCCGCTGTTCAGGAGTTGAATTTGCAATTTCTTGTCCGGTTTCTTGAGTGAGGAGATGGAAGACCTGATCGTTGGTTGTCTCTCGCGGCGCTTGAGAGCGTCGGTGATGCGAGGTCTGTGCTTTTTGTAGCATTGATGGTTAATGTCATGTATGCGGTGAGGTGTATTTCGTTGAGGGAGGTAGAGACTTACCCGAAAGAAATATTTGTTTACTGTACGTAGTGTATTTCGAGCATGCCGATGATCACCTTGTGTTGCGATTATTGTCGTGTCAGGTTCAAGAACGTAGGATAGGCAGATTGTACACGAGAATGATGATTGTTGAGAGAGAAACGCTGGTTCTTTCGGGATCTGCATTTCGTTATGGAGTTTAAAGAAACTAATCAAATTTTGCGTAGAGGTAATTTAAAAGCTCAAGTAAGCTCTGAAATCTGTGTCCAGATACACTGGGACTTAGTTTTTCTTGCTGAGGAATTTTTAGTGTTATCACGCCTTCAATCTTATAATCTCAAGCGCAGCTGTGAGGGGATAGGATGCATTTTCTTCTGTTACTTTACTCGTTGAGCAGAACGGGTAGGATATGAAAGAGTTCAACGAAGTTTGAGAATGAGAACCTATGAGACATCAGAAGATTACAATGATAAGTCGGCGCACGAGCCCCACCGAGAAGGGTTACCACGAAGAAATTTTCTTAGCTTCATTTGAGTCTTGCGCCGTTTGATACCATTGATAACTTCCCAACATCTCATCTATCTCAGTGCAGCAGTTCCTTCTGTTCCTGTAAGAGGTGAGATTACGAATGGTTATCTACTTTCTCGCAGAATTCTGTCAGTGATATTAATCTATTTGGTAATCGCCATTTAATGGCGATGCTTCAGGAGTCTTCTTCGTTAAGGTTTGTCTTGATTGACCGAATATTTGGTGTGTTACAGAGCCAAATTCGTGGTTTTATATTTTTCTCCATTTTTAAAACTTGACTAAGCATGTATTAACAAGTAATTGAATCCAGAATCCAATCGCACGTTTCAATTAGTTTTTTGTGCAATTTTCTTCACGCCCCGCATTATTATTGGTGGTGCACGTGGTTGTGATACTTCTGCGTTCAATTATGGCCTTTTCTCATGGCACGCAAACATTAAGTTCTTTGCTACTAATTGTTATGCAATTTTAGATTTAGGGGTGTTAAACGTGGGATCACAAAGCACTGGTTTTCACGAGTGCAGCGTTACAAAATGTTCATACGCTTGTGATAGTGTTTCAACATTGTCGTTGTCCCATCAACTTCCGATCGCAGTGATTTGTGGTTCTTGGATAGACTTCAAAGATTTCACAAGTATCCGGAAACCTTTCCGTCCTCACCGGGTGGCACCGTCCTTGACAGTGGAGTTTCAAGCATGATGTTTGAAGGCCTACCTGCTGTGACCTGCATCCTTATATGTCCACCACTTTGAGTATTACAACGTTCCATGGCTCAATTATTTTCTCTTTCACAACTGTCATTGTAACCTTTCTTCGGCGAAACTCAGCATGCTGATGGAGTCTTCCTTGCCAACGGTTTTTCTGGCCCGTAATGAGAGTAAGCCAACAGTAGCTGCAAGAGATGGCAAGCATGCAAATCCAACTTCAAGTAAGGTTCTCAAACCTAAGCAGGGTGTTATCAAGAAATCGCCGGACTTGGTCCACAAAGGTTCGACGCCGAGCCAAACTAAAGTTGTCCCTGTGAGGAGAAGTGCAACCAAATTACCGCAACATGCAACTGAAAGGGTTCAATCTGGTGGACCAGATAGGCCTAGAAAGAGCACAACTGAGAAGCCGAGGATTACTTCTACCGCAAACAGTAGGAACAAGGAGAAGCAAGAAATGGAGGCTCTTGTAAGGAAGTTATCGACTCCCACTCTCGGTGCTCAGCGTCCCTCAGCGATGCAAGCACATGTAAGTGTTGAAGCAAAACCTCCAGCAAGGGTTAATGACAAGATTCCAGATGTTAAGTCAGTTCCTTCAAAAAGTGATGCAAAAGAGCTGGCTTCCCCGCTTGAATCTGTGAGTCCCAAGGTGGAAGTTCCCCGCCACAGTCTCCAAGAATCTCTATCTCCTACTCAGGAAGTTTCGGCTGCGCGGAAAAGCAGGAATGCGACTCCCGTCAGGAGGGAAAGCAGCACTAATGTCAGTGATGCTGAAAGTGAAGATGCTGGTACAAATGTAGCAGGAACACCATCTAAAGTCATGCCCTTGATGACAGTGGCTGCAGTTGATGCTATGATGAACGACGAATTACAGAATTCCAACTTGTATCTAGGTCCTTATTTAATCAAACTGACTAAGTTGTATTCTATGGAAGAAGATCAATCCAAAGCAGTTGAGTACGGTGTTAGAGCTGTTAAATTCTATGAGAAGCAAGCTGATAATAGGCAGCCTAGTTTGGAATTCGTTGCTAGTCTTCAGATATTGGCAGCATTACATGGTAGGCTGGGTAACTTTGATGAAGCCATACATTTGCTGGAAAGGTCGGTGGTCATTCCAGTTACTGGTGACAACGAGGATCACGCTTTGGCAAAGTTTTCCGGTTACATGCAACTTGGGGATTCATATAATCTTCTTGGAAAGCAGCGTCCTGCATTGGATTCATATCATCGTGCTCTCAGGGTGCAGAAGGCAATGCTTGGAGAAATGGATCCTCGAGTTGGTGAAACATGTCACTACATAGCTGAAGCCCACTTACAGGTTTGATGATCCCACCGGGTTAATACACTCAAATCATTTAGTGGAAGTGTCTTTTTGCAACCGAGTTTGTTATATGTCCATGTTAAGAATGGAGACTTCATAAAAGGTTGTGAACTTTCATGTAGGCATTGGATTTTGACAAAGCTGAGGCGTTATGTGAACATGCGCTCTCCATTCATAAAGAACATGGCGAGGAAGTTTCCTTGGAAGAAGCAGCAGATAGGCGCCTTCTGGCGCTAGTCCTGAGTGCAAAAGGGGAAAATGAGAAGTCATTAGATAATTTGACGGTTGCCTTGTCCATCCTATTAGAGAACAATTTGGAGGTATTTACTTTCACCATGTTGATGTTAGGATATTGCAATTGGCTAGTTCTTTGTTGGGTTATTTAGTTCTGCTTTGTCAGTCTTCGTTCTGATATCTTGGAGCTCTGAGAAGAACTGCCCCTTATTACTCACATCTTATGTGTTGCATTATGAATTTCCTGTTCTTTATTTGTTATCTGATTTGTTACTGTTGTTAACTTCGGTGCGAGTAGAATATTACTGCCCTGGAAAACAGATGAAGGCTGATAAAATCTTGCTATCATAAACCGGATGGCCTCGTCGAATTTCATCCCGGAGTCTAGATGTTGTACACGGAAGTACTTTGACATTTAATGATTGCACGCCAGTCATACTGATGCTGTGCTTTATTTTATCTGGAGTTTAGCTCGATGCAGCTGCAGTGAATCTTAACATTGGTGATGAACTACTTGCGCTCGGTCGAGATGTTGAGTCAGTAAATGCATACCAGAAAGCTATTGCGATGTTTAAGGCTATTAAAGGCGACAATCACACACTGGTGGCTGGGTGTTATGTCAGTCTTGCTGAGCTCTACATGAAGACCAGCAAGGTCCGTGAGGCCAAGTCATTTTGCGAAAATGCTCTACACATATATGGGAAGCAGGGAGCTGGAAATAATCCCAATGATATCGCAAGTGGACTGGCTGATGTTGCATCTGTTTACGAGGTTATGAATGAGAAGGAAACAGCTATTTTGCTCCTCCAGCGGGCCCTCGCCATTCAAAAGTCTCTTCCAGGTTGAACATCATTTTTCGGCAATATCCTTATGATATTATTAGGTTGTCTAGTCTCATTGAACTATGCTCTGTTCATCGATTTTCTTAATAGTCATTTCCTGTGTGTGCTCAGGTCAGCAAGCTGCAATGGGTGGTATTGAAGCTCAAATGGGATTATTATATTACATGATGGAGAGGTTTGAGCCTGCCTTGGACACCTTCAAGAGTGCAATTTGCAAGCTAAGGGATGGAGGTCTAGAAAAGACGCCGTTATTGGGCATGCTCTTGAACCAAATGGGCATAGTATGCATAGAGCTTGGCGACATAGAGCACGCCGCTGAGTTATTTGAAAACTCTAGGAGTATATTAGAGGACACCTACGGTCCCTATCATTTGGACACATTAGATGTGTGCACCAACCTTGCGGGCAGCTACGATGCACTCGGAAGGTAATGCTTACTCGTATATGTCGGTGTATTTCAATGGGCAGATTTGTCGCTAGGTGATTTCTCTTGTGCTCATCTAGGAATTTGCTTCGCCTATTATTTGCGGCTCATTATGGTTTATGAGGTTCAAGTCTACCACGTCTCAATGGGCTGAGTCATGTTGAACCTAAAACGCCAGCTTAAACACAAGTTTGGCATAAAAGACGTTTTGTGATTCAACTTGCTGCATGCAGATTGGATGAAGCTACTCAGCTTTTGGAGGATATTGTACAAGCAAAGGAGGATAAGATGGGTACAGTTCATCCAGACGTGCATGACGATCGTGAACGGCTGCAAGAGTTGCTGAAGGATGTCGGGCGGACCTACACACCTAAATCACGCAGACTCGAAGAATTGCTCTTAACTGCTAGGAAGGAGAATCGTAAAAGATGAGGACCCTTGAGCCTGGTCTAGTTTTCAATGTTGCAACCTGCATTAAGTGTGATGATGTGTGTCCATGTTTCCAGATAGTACTACTACTATTTCTGCAGGGAAACCACCTCATCCCCCCCCCCTGTGTTTTACAACTGTAGAACCATGTATGATGTCGTCGAGCGAAAGCAAACCTCCCAGCCTGACTGGCGTATTTAGGATCTATTTGTCTGGCTTACAAAGTCAAAAGTGTGTAAGACGGTGGTTTAAGTCAGGAATGCACCCCATATACTCTAAGGCCCCGATATTCTGTAGATGATGATTTATTACTCGTATATTTTGTAACACGTAATATTCCAATTACATTTTATTCTCTTAATGAAAAAGCTTCATTACAACATTTGTGGTTTGGTAACGCTTAAGAAATTTTACTAACATTCCTGTGCATGGTGTATTTTCAAAGTCAACATTTAGGCTAAACATTGTGATTGATGAAGCAGTGGGAATGTGGATGAGAAGCTGATTATCTGACAATCCTCTCTGATGTGAAGCATTCTTTTGGCTCATCGGGTAAGTTCCACACTGTTGGATCTTGCTTACTCGTTTTCTGTGGCCTTCTGTTTCTCCCTTGTTTTAACATGGCTTGGGCTAGAAAACGTTCTGTCAGGTGTTGGGCAGAGCTGTGTGAGCTTCACCCCTAGCACACCCCCTTTTTTAGTCTCATTTTCACTTGGATTTGTAGAATCACAACTTTGTTTGCAGATGGAATTTCTAGAGAGAATATCCTTTAAAGTCGTAAAATGAACAATTGTACTATAAAATTCCAATATAGCACCATCCAACACGCAACTTAATAAAAAAATTGCAAAGTCATACAAGAGGGTTGTGCTTAGACATCACAGGGTCCACTTCCAACAACCTACATGCTTGCCTGAAGTGAATCAACATATGTTGCTCATCCTCTTCGGGACATGTGCTCGATGCCTCAACACCAATCACACCCATGTACTTGTTTTTCAAAACTCTCACTAGGAGGCATGTGAATACATGGACATCTTTGCACACTGTAGTATCCCCGTAAGTCAAAATAACAACAACAGCGCAAGTCTTGGCAAATGTTTGTTGCTTACTGTTTGCAACAAAACCCGAATTTAAGAACTGATCTCTTCGGGATGCTGTAAAATGGGATGAAGTAGTTGCTCCACAGTTAAGTAACAGTGGAGCAAATCGACTATTATACAACCTTCTCACCTTCGACACTTAGTGTTCGTGATTTTTTTCTTTTCTTTTCTATAAAGTGTTCAATTCAAGTTTGAAATAATGTTCAACTAAATTGTCTTGAATATTGTGATGCAAGTCCCGCGGCCACAGGTCACCACCCACAACCCCAAGCCCGCGTCATTCAGCTACCGACGCGTGACATGGCTGGCGTCCACCTGGAGCGAAGTGTGTCGAGGCTGCTGTTCTAAGGAGGACCGATTGATGAATTCCGCTATTCATCATCAATCATGCCATTTCATCAAATGGGTAGTACCTCGGCGGGCCGTTTGATTGTTACGTAGTGAAATCGAGTTGTGGGTGCGTTTTCTTTTGCGGCGAATCTGTGAGGAGACGCTGCAAGTTGCGCTTGAGTTAGGTCACGGGGAGCCTACAACAGGGGCTTAGTAGTTTAGATTTGTGGGGTCTTCTGTTTTGGAAGTGTGGGAGGTTTTTGGAGAGGTTTTTGAGGTGGTTGTGGATTGTGGGCTGCTCCGATGAAGGAAGCCAGCGAGGAAAGTGTGGCGCCCTCGGTCCCTGCGGCAGATCCCAAGGCGCAGAGAGGGGTTTTGAGTGTCATTTGGGGCCTCATGGGGTCGCTGTTCTCTAGGGGGAACAAAAACGATTTCGAAAAGAGGTTGCAGCATTTGACCAAGGAGGAGGTCGCTGTGCACTCTCGCTTGAAGCGGCGGACGCAGAGATGGCGAAAGCTAGCCAGAGTGATGATCATTTATTCTATTGTTGGCGAGGTCAGCTCTGACATTGTTTGGAAGCTTAGAGCTTGGCTTGTGAACTCGATCTGATGGCATCATGTGTCCATTTCATTTGATCCTTTTGTCTTGTTTTGCTAACTAGAGCATTTGAGTTACTTCATCATGTGCTATCTCAGTTTCATTTGAATGTGAATATGTTGTATGATGATATTGCTTAGCTGGTCGAGGGTGGAGATTTTTGGCGCGGTTTTGAGCAGTTTATTTGTTTTTGGAGGTTTATTTAATGTTGAGTATTTTAGCTTTCCCATTGAGAGCTACTGTAGCAGAGCTTTAGTATGGGACAGTCGGTGCGTAGATTTGTAAGTGCCAACTGGTGTCATTCTACTCCCAGGCCCTAGCTTTGGGGTTCGCGATCCTGTCAAGCAGAAATGCTGATCTGCCATGGCAAGTTCGCGCCATTCGAGCTCTTCCTGTTTTCGCTCTGCCTGCAATCGTCACTCTGCTTTACTCGACCTGCGCTGGATTTCACCGGATGAGTAATACTTCCTTCTATTTGCACCTTTTCTCTTTAATCAGGTGATTTATTCTTGAATTGTATCTCGTTTTGCACGATCAATTTGGAATCTTTTTTGAATGATTGAGCATGTAACAGTGGAGCGCAAGGATCATGAGCGACTTGAGCGATTGAAAACGGAGCGTCAAGAAAAGATCAACGAGTTGAAAGAAAAGACCAACTATTACATCACACAGCAGCTCATTCAGGTGATAATGTTCTCCTAAAGATTGTCTCCTGCTATCTGAATTCTCTCTCTCTCCCTATCTCACTCTCGTTCACCTCATCTGAATCTGAACTCACTTGGTCAATACCTTTCACACCATGACGAATCGTACATCCGGAATCCGGGTGGAAGTGTGGGTCTGCGTGTCCTTACTTTATATGACTCCACTTGATGGCATGTAAAAAAACTTGCTCTTGATGTGATATGTTGGTGTTGTGCCTTGTTCACTTTTCCTCATTGTGACTGTCTTCAGAATCTGGGTTGTCAAGGCTTAATACTGAAAGAGATAACGTGTGTTGTCTTTAGTTGATTTAAAAATATCTCTCACACGTCGAGTTAGGGTCCCACATTGTTGTACTGTTGCTCTGGAAGCATCCCAGCTGGATTTTGGTAGTCACTTATGAATCGAAATTTGGATGAATAGCAATATGACCCTGATCCGGCGGCGAAAGCAGCGGCAGCAAGCATTCTCGCATCCAAGTTAGGTGCTGAGTCCGGCCTCAAGCTAGCTCTGGCTGCAGGACTTACTAGCACTGATGATTTAACTCAAGGAAAGAGTTCCGGGGCTCCTAATCAATCAGTTGGGAGATTAGATAGGGAGGCGATGGATCACAATTCCGTAGGTCTTCGGAATCGAAAGTCTCAACACCGTGGTCAGGATTTTGGGCCATCTTCTCAGGGAATGCCACGCATGGAAGGTTTTTCTCGAGAGAATAATATGCCAGGTGGCCCAGAGGTTTGGGAGGAGCAGGGTATGGATGTGAGGAGACCTCCTCGCAATCCATCAAACGGAGGCTGGATTGCAAGGTTGGCTGCGATGCTCGTGGGTGAAGACCCTACCCAGTGCTACGCCCTCATCTGCAAACAGTGCCATGCACACAATGGTTAGACGAATTCTACTTGTTAATATTCATCCTTCATTTAGGAGAACTACTCAAATACGCTCAGATAGAATGGATCTCGTGCATTTTTTCTGCATCTTTAACTTGGTGTTTACAACCTTTCTGATTGGTGTTCTTCTGCTTTACAGGTCTTGCAAAGAAAGAGGACTACAAGTATATCCAATACTACTGCCCACACTGTCGGACTTTAAATGGAACACGGCCAGTCGAAGATGGGCTTTCACTTACTGACGAGCCTGCTGAAACGTCCCCCAAACTGGAGCTATCAAAGGCTATAGCGTCTGTTGACGGCGAAACTCTAGAAATTTCAAACCCCGCAGCACCTGCTCTCGTATCGCAGCTAATTTCTGGTGAGCTGGATAATTCTGACAGTTCAGAGGAAAGTAACTAGGCCCAAGGACTCTTTAGATATGCATATAGTAGGAAAAGAGTTCCAGTTGCGGAATTGGCAGGTTAGGCGAGCGATGTAAATTTGGCCATGAAGCTTCCAAGTTGAGTAGGCATGTCCTGTGCCCCCTGCTTTTGAGCAGAGACTTGAATGATCAGATTTAGTTAGTCCATGTGAGTTGTGAGAATCGTTCGATCTCCCGTATTCGTATGGAATAGTATTCGTGGCGAGACACAAGTCTGTAACTGATTTTTTGAGTAGTAAGAGATTTCAATTGAGTTTTGGATTCAAAGGGTAGGCTCTTGCACGGATATATGTACAGTATGAGTTTGCCGCTAATGAAAGGTATCCTGTGGGCTGTAGTCAACATGTCAAATAAACTAGCCGAATGCCCCAAATTTGAACAGTGTATTTTACAGTAGATTTGAGACATGAGAGAAGAATGTGACGTGTCAATTTGGTTACGTGAATAATTATCCCGGTTCTAAAGCAGGTGCTGCTGAGTTGTATTTATGGGTGCGTTCATGCACATCAATATCATCATAAGTACAGGAAGTTGTATTTGCTGTGGCCACAAGAACATGCAAGTTTGGTGGACATTGCCAGAACGTGTTTATTGATTTCATTGTCACAACTATTGCACTTCATACGAAGTGGTGTACACCATGCATTACAAATGTGTACTACATTGTGTATAAAGTGTTGTATAGAAATAACTGAACTCCTTGAAATGTTCAATCTTACCATATTACTTGTTTTGGCTTTACTTATCTGCAGTAAGATCTTGTAGCTCCTCTAAGCCTGGCTACGTACATAGATGCTATGTGGTAAGTCTCCTCATGCTTGTACCATGGGGATTTTGTGTGGTTCCATGCATGTAAGATAAATAAATATCATAATTTATTTATTTTATTTTTTAAGAATACTATTTTGTTTCAATAAAAACTAAAAAATAAAAAAATAAATGTCTTATTTTAAATTCAAAATGCATATTGTAAAGTTCATATGTTACTATTTATAATTTTTCTTTGTTTTATGGTACAAGTTCATTAAAGATTTGGAAGGCAAATAATTTTTACTGTTTTCAAACTAAATTTAGAGCTCTTATCATTATTATTTTTTTATCTTGATGAATATTTTTATAAAAATCATAAGATATTTTTGATATAAAAATTAAATTTATATATATTGTAGTTATGTATGGTTAGTTTTTATCTTTCAAAATCACCAATCATAAGATCCTAAAAATAGATGTAATTTTCTAAGCTCATAAAATTGTAATAGTATTTAATATTATTAAATCTTCAATTAGTTTTTTTTTTTTTTTTTTTTTTGTTTTATTTATTTGGAGTTATTGTGGTTAAAAATTCTATTTATTTGATAACTTAGATAATTAATAGTTTTAAATATATTCTCAATTATCTATAAAAAAACAAAAAACTTAGACTTTTATTTGTTAGAGAAATTATTTTATTGAAAATTTTAAAAGAGTAAGATTTATTTGTGATTTTTAAAGAACATATCTTATTTAACTAAAGCTTTTGATAAAATTCTAGAATAGTATGTAGATCTTGAAGATACATTTGAAATCATAACACAAATATTTGATCCAAATCTTTTCCTAATAATAGAGAAATTGATCTTTAAATAAGTGTTTAGTTGCCATTTAGACCAATTAGCCACCTATAAGGAATATATTTATAAGAATCTTCTAAATATTTTTATATGGTATTTAAAGCCTCTTATAGACAAACTTCTTTGTGAAGACAAAAAATGGATCTTTGCAAACATGTGTAAATTATTGTGGATTCAATCACTTGGCAAACAACAATTTTATTCTTTGGTTTTAATATTTGGGCTATTTGATTAGTTAAATAAAAACTAATTTTTATATAAACAATTATTAATTATAATTTTTTAAAATGTATTATATTATTATGTGTCTTAAATTAGTAGCACATTGTTAAAGCATGTCATTTTTATTATTCTTATTTAATATAATACATTGTTTTAAAAAAATAAGACTTTTTGAATATTTTTTTTGGATGATCTTATCATGTAATAAAAAAATATTTTATATATAATTATCACCAAAATTCTCATTTAAAATTAAAGAAATTATATTTCAAGCTATAAATGCTATAAATCAATAATTTATATAAAATCCACATTTTATGATAAAATTTGTTTAAGTATATAAAAATAAAAAAGCCTTTGAAGTTAATTATTAATTATTGAAAATCAAAGATATTTTAAAATAATAATTTAAATGATAAGAATATATTTCTAAAATTTAAATATAATTATGTATTCTTCAAACTAATATATATATATATATATATATATATATATATATATATATATATATATATATATATATATATATATATATATATATATATATATATATATATATATATATATATGTATATTGTAAGAGAACGCCTAATATCAACTATAAGAATGTAAAAGATATAAATAAAGAAGTGATGTATGTCAAAGAGATGACAAAAAAAAAAGAGAAAGTATGTATATTTAAGAATTAACAAGAATAGCTATTATAAAAGATAAGAAGAATAGATATTCTTGAAACAAGACTAAGGACAAGAAAGGCATTGACAAAAGTGAAAAAGGCCTTGTTTTTGCCTCTATATATACTATCTAACTAAAGAGCTAAGTAGCAATGCTTTATAGGTCATCTGACACATGTCCAACTTGTATGATAAATGATCAATATATGCAACATGTGGCCACCTTACAAAACTAGTAGTTGACATGTACAACACATGGCGAATTTGTTGGCCACGTTTTTTAATCTACCAATTACCTACAAAAACTTATAAAGTCAAGTTTGCGTTTATATAACTATTGAAAGGCTTCTCTATAGGATATTATCAAATTACCTATTTTTACTTATTTTTATCTAATTCTTCTTATTTAAGTAATATTCATTGTTCTTGTGTAAGTAATTCTTTATTGATATTAATATGTATGTCTATTAATTGATATTATATTTAATAAAGATCACTAGTTTAAACAAAATTTTAAAAGGTGTTCATTAAGATATCAAAGTTTAAAACCAAACTATTTTTAGTTTATAGTTTTATTATATATATATATATATATATATATATATATATATATATAGAAAAAAATATAAACTAGGGATATATATATATATATATATATATAAGTATAAATAAATAAATTAATAAATATATAATTCTATTAATTATTATATGAAAAATTGAAGAAGTCTATCACTACTAATAAAATTTTATTTAATAATTTAGTTATTTTTAATGTTTAATATAAATTATTTCAAAAAATAATTTTAGATAATTTTTATAATTAATACTATTAACTTTTAAAAATTTAATAATATTGTATTAGAAGATTTTACAAGAATTGTTTAAAACCTCATATAATAATAATGATAAATCTATGACAAGTTTGTGAATAATAAAAGCTATTATAAATATCTTTAAATATAAAAAAAATTATTTAAAGTTTTTGATTTAATTTAATTTTTTTCAGAATATTAGAATTAGTTAATTTTGTATTGAATGTATTAGCTCATTACAAGTAAATGCAAAACAACATCACAAATACAACATGTGTTAATCTATAGAAAAGTACTTTGAGCCACTTTATTCAATTTGTATTTCATATGCTACAAAGTGCTTTTCTATAGATCTAGATTATATAGATGAAGCAAGTTAAATGAATAACTTCATCAAATATTCCTACTTGTTTATTATAATTTTTTTTTTTTTTTTTTTTTTTTTTTTTTTTTCCAAATGGTTTTTTTCTTATTCCACTTAGTTGACAACAAAGAAATTGATGAGATTAAGTGAAGCCCAAAGACATTCAAAATAACCACAAGGTAAAGTTTTTTATAAAGATATTAGCAAAATAAACTTTAGTGAGGATGTAAATGAAATCAATTTTGTTTTTATTTCAAATCTTGTGGCTGAAGAAGTATTTGATGTCTTCATGTTTGGATTAATTATGAAACATTAGATTTTTAACCAATGTAATGGCTCCTTGATTATCATAGAAAATTGATATTTAAGCAAAAATTGTGATAGAAATTCTTTTTAATGGTTGTGTCAACTAGATAGCTTCTTTGGAAAAAATTGCTATTGTAATGAATTTGATTATGGTAGTAGAATTGATTGCTAGTACTTGATTTTAAATATTATATAAGATGGTAACACCCTTTGAGAGTATAAACATATCTTTTGTGGCTCTAATGGTTGTCTATGTCATTGAAAAAATTTGCAAAAAAAATAATGTAACAAAAAATTGGATGTAGTGAAGTATTGAATGTCAAATGACAAGGTTTCTTTTAAATATCAAGAAATTTGCTTGAAAGCATTCAAATGACTTTGTTGTAATTGTTATTGATACTAAGCAATCTTAATAAGAAAAAATGATATATTAAAACAAGTGAAGAATATTGTATACATTAGATAGTTAATACATTGTAAGTAGGGCTTCTTTATTAAACAGTTGCCATCAATATTAGCAAAGAATTAAGAATCCAACTTAGTTGTTATAACAACAGAGTTACAATCAAATATTTGAAATTTCTAAAGAATAGCAATAATGTATTATTTTTGATGAATGAATGAAGTCTTTTTTACATAATCTTTCTCAAATTGAAGGTCAAAAGAATAATTTATTGTTTTAGTACTGATTTAACATATAGTGGTGTCTTAATGCATTTAAATTAAATGCATCAAAGATATTTAGAAGGTAATTACTTCTACTTATAAGGAAGAAAGAATATAATGCTAATATATTTACAAATTTGAATAAGATTTAGAATATGAAATTGTTGCCTTGAATGGATTATTTAAGTTTTGAAGGTATTATCTTTTAGGATAGATACTAAATTCTATAGGAATTTAAGAAGGATATTGCAAGAAGGTTAAAGGAGGGGAGGGGGGGTTGCATCAAGTAGGTTTTTTTTGCTTAGATCAGAATTTGTAGAAAAGAGAGGAGATTACTAGAATTTTGGAAGTAGCAAGTTTTAAGATTGATTTGAAGATTTCAATGCCACTTATTATATTGAATTTTGAAGAGAAGCTAGATCTTATTGTAAATTTTCTAATAAGCTTTAGTATGTAAGAAATAGATGTGTGACGAGAGAAATCCAAGCAAATTTGTAGAATGGAGGTTATTAAAAATTTTAGGCAGTGAGTTTCAAAATTTATTCATATTTTTTATGCTATTTATTGGATTTTAATAATTTTTATTTAAATTTAGAAGAAACTTAGATATTATTATTAATTTTTCAATAAACCTTAGTATTCAAGAAATAGAAAAGTGATGAGAGAGAATCAATCAAATTTTGTGGACAAGAGTTTTGAAGGTTGCAGCTACAATAAGCAGCAAACTTTTTCTAGGTTTGGTTTTTATTTTCTTTGAAACTTAATTATTAACTTTGATGTTTTGAACTTTATAGCTTGATTTACGTTCAATGAGTTAATTTTTTCTTATATTGAGCTAATAATACGTGAATAATAGATATTTTAATAAGAAGAAGTTTGGATTTAAGATTAGAATTAGGAATTGAATGTATTATGGTACAAAAAAGAAATTAATCTAAAATTTATATTAAAATTTTGAGCTATTCTTTTATATTTGAGTTCATTTGGATAATATTTAATACACTTATAATCAAGTACTCCATGTTCTTCTGAGAAGGTTAATCTTTTTAACATAAATTTGGTACTTTTATTGAGAGCATCTTCAAGGCAATTGAAAGTACAAGTAGAATATAATGGAGTTATAGAACTAGGATGTAAGCTTGGAGCATGAAGAGGAATTCAAAAGTTAAAAGGAAGAAGTACAAGATTTTTGATATTTTAAGATAATAGATGATTTTAAAAGAGCCAATACAAGTGGCACTTTGGAAGTAAGTGCCAATGATTTACTATTGGCTTTGAGTATGTTCATAGAGAGACAAAAACAAGTATAAGTAAGCGAGAAAAGTATGACTAAGGCATTACAAAGCATGGTCAATAACCATGAGAGGTTTGATGGAAGGAACATCACCAAGTTTCTTCAAGTATATGTGGAAGGGATGGAGGTACATGAAGTCATCAAGTCTTATTATATTTTTAGATTTGAATTGGCATGAGAGAATTAAGAGTGGAGATAAGTGAGTTGAAGAAGAACCAAAGATCTATTTTTTTTTGTGCATCAAAGCAATCAAAGAGATTTTTTATGAGATACATGTCTTGTGATAGTCTTGAGTATGAGAAGAAAGATTTCTCTAATTAAGATGAAGATGTCAAAAAGAGAATTATCTTCTTCAAAGAAGGTAGATTGAAGCTCACTAATATGAAACAATCTTTGAAGCTCAATTTTCAAAGAGAAGGTATAAAAAAGCTTTTAGAAGAATATGTAAGAAAAACAAGTAGATTGCATGTGAGAGAGGCTAAGTCTTATCTTATTGAAGTATAGACTGAGAGCACAATGGCTATTTTAAGGCTACCAAGGGAGGCTATGGTTTAAAAGGTAGAACCTATAAAGAGAGCAATGGGTTGAAATAATCCAATTGATGCTATTAGCATCAAAGCTCTTTTAAAAGGCAATAACGATTTAGATGATCAAGATGCTATTATGGAAGAAAAGATGACTAGATCATCTCAAGAAGATGTGGTAGAATTCTCTAACAAGAAGAGGCTACCAAATTAGGGAGTCTACTCAAGAAAGAGGACCTTCTTATCCACAAGTTCAAGTAGTATCTTCATCTCAATCAAAGAGTGGAATTGGAGCTTAAGAGAGTGGAGCAGAAGACAAGGAGAAAGAAGGCTCAAACGAGCCTAAAGATAAGAGTCCTTCTTATAAGCTTCAATCAGATATTAAAAACTTTATTGATATAAAAAAAATTTGACGAAAGGATTTTTAATTTAAAAATTGAATTCACCTTGAGGGATGTACTTGACATAGTGAAGAAAGACTTTCATCAGCTTATCATCAATGTCATTAAGAAAAAGAGACAAATGATAGCAGAGGTAGTTACAATGAAGGCATTAGACTCCTATTTGTTCAAGAAAGAGGACCAAGAGATAGGACAAGTCTTTTTACAACTTTGTGTATGTAAATTTGAAGAAATGCCACTTGAAAAGAAGAAAGAAGTCACTACTCAAAGTTATGGTAGAAACAAAGATCAAAGAGGAATAAGAAGCAGCAAAGAGGTAGAGCATGGAATAGATATAAGTAGGATAAATGTATCTAATTGTGCTTTTTATGGGAGGTTTGACGGCGAGAGGATGAATGCTCAATTTGCATAATTTTTTTGGATTAAAGCTACTATGGAGGCTCAACTAAGACATAGAGATATCAAAGAGCATACCTTGATACTTATTGATCATGGTTTGGAGATCAACATTATATCAAGGAAGATTTATGAGATAGGAGAGTGGCCTTTTGATATTAACTATGGATGGATGTTGACGGTTGCCAACAATGAATGAAGTGATTTGTATGGGACATGTCTGAGAATTAAGACAATGATTGAGAATGTGGAAGTAGAACAAAGTTTCTTTCTACAAAACTTTGCTACTTATTTGGTGATTTTAGGACAACCTTATTTTAAGGCTATTAGGATAGAAACTAAGGTTTTAGATGATTGCTCTTATTATGTAATGATTAAAAATTATGATTAAAAAAGTTGGTACAATTTCTTGCAATAAAATTACATCATGAATGAAATAGAGACCAATTTAGAGAAGCTCTTTTAAGAATCAATAAATTTTTTTTGGATATTTAAAGAACACCTGTATAACATGAAAATACAAGGGTATAAGTAAGACTTTTATTCATATATTCTTTAATAGAGATAGCTTTGAGTGTAGATTTTTGGATTTGAAAACTTTGGAAATTTTAAGATTTCAAAAGATTGAAGACTTAGGTCATGTATATATAAATTGGATGAAAAAATATGATTTTTTTTCAAAAAGAATGGATATGATTTCAAATAGTGAGTGTATTTTAGATGTAATTGAAGAAGAAGGATTTGAAGATGATTATGTAAAGATTTTAGAAGGATTGGCTTTGCATGTAGATAGAAGTAGAGCTAATGTTGTTGTAGAGCTTCATTGAAGGCAATTATATGAGGAGATTTTGGAATTTTCAAAGAAACTTAGAATAGTTGATAGTGATATGATATTACAAGAAGCTATGGTATACATTAAATATAAGACCTTGGCTAAAAAGATGAAGCCTATGGCAACCCAACTGCATCAAGATATCAAAGAAAGTGAGTCAGTCAATTGATTCACTTGAACATTTAATATAAAAAATGCACTTATTGTGCTTAAAATCATAGATTTTGTGAGTTAGTAGTAGAATTTTGAGAGAAATAGAAAATAGATTGCTAATAGTAGGTATATAGCCTAATGTAGAATTTGTAAAGACAAATTTTGATGGTGGATATGTTTTTGGTATCCAACATTAAATGATGGTATAATAGAAATAATCCTTGTTGTTAAAAAAAATTACTTTATTAATAATTCTTAAAACATGTATAGATATATGTTATAAAAAATTATATATATATATATATATATAATAAAATAATAAAATAAAAAGATCAAAAGAGTAGAAAGAAGAAGAGAAGAAGGAAGAGGGAGTAGAAAAGAAGGAAGAAAGAAGAAGGAGAAGAGAAGAAAAAGAAAGAGGAGACGAGGAAAAAAGAAGGACAGAGGAAAAGAAAGAGAAGAAGAGAAAAAGAGAAGGGAAAATATATATATATATATATATATATAAATAAATAGACGATCAAGGTGAAATGAGAGGCTGCCCCTGAACGGAGGCAACCTCTTCGTCGAAGGGATCGGGCCGCCCAGATCCCTCCCTCTCTTCGTTCTTTATTTTATTTTATTTTATTTTTTTGCGTTATGCGTTCCGGAGCCCCAATTCTGAGCGTATTTCTTTTTTCTTAGTTCTTTTTCTTATCTTTTCTGTACGTGTGTTGGAGCTGGGTTGTATTATTTTTTTTGTTATTTTCTCTCGCATTTAGAGAGCCCAATTGCTGTTGTCGATTCTTTGGTTGCTAGTTCGACTCTTCTTGTATGTCACTGGTGGCGGCGGAAGCAACTGGTGGTTGTGTCGCGAATCTCTTGTCTTCTTCGTGTATGGCGATTAGACGAAAACCTCTGTGTTGTAGTTCTTGCGGTTTTGTGGAGCGATGTTGTAGGGTGGCAGTGCAAGGATTGCTCTTGTTTTTTTTTTTTTTTTTTTTTTTTTTTTTCTGATTCTCTCTTGTCCGTGATCTCAAGGCGGTTGGAGCGGCATTTGGAGCGGGGAATTGCAGAAGTGCGAGGGTTGCTTGGGTCCTTCTTCGACTTATATTGGACTCCGGTGTGGACTTGAGAAGCGGCTGGGGCTATTAATCATGCTACGTTTCTTCCTATCATAGTTCCACTGGTTGAAGCTACAGGCATTGTCTAGGTTCCTTTTTGGTATTTTATTTTTTTGGTTGCGTGAGTTGCGATCTGTTTGACGTCCATGGTATAAAGCTTGTGCGATTGCTGGGTTCAGCGCTGTGGCAGTCCAAGGGTGAATCCATTTTTTCTTTTTCTGCGGATTTCCGTCAGTGGCGATTGTTGCGATTGCTGAACTATGTGGTGTAGCCACGTTTTGTTCCAAATTGTGGTTGTCAATTGGGCGGCAATTGACATCTACAAGTTAATGCGACTTAACTGGTCTCTAATTGTCTTCGTGTCCGGAGAGATCTAGGAAGCGGCCACATTTAAAACGTAAGTTTGTGCTGCACCTCTCTCTAGAGCTTGCCAGACATCACACTACATTGGATGCACTTCGTCGAATCACACATTCTGTCTGCTTGCTTAAATACCTCTAGCCGACATCGACGGAAGGATTGCGGCAAGGCCATCACACAATTCCTTCTTTTTTTGGAGTTGCTTGTGCGGTGTTGCTTGGGTTTAACGAGGAGATCAGCAATCCTTGTTTTTGTCTTCTCCTTTGATGTTTCTGTGATTGGGGGCTATAAGGGCTGCAACAACTGGAATAGAGATTAAATCTACTTCCTGTCATACTGTCACAATCTTTGACGAGTGGGCCTCTAGCCTCTCTACACGGAGCATGATCAAAGATTCTGATCATCAGAGTAGGATCTGCCAAAGTGGTGCTCAAATTGTTAGTAGACCAAGCGGAGAGGACTCCTCAACTGATGGGAGCTTCTCGGACATGGGTAGTGGGGGCCAAATAATTGTGATTTTAACCACAATGCAACTTCCTACCGACCTCTAGAATTCTGCACAGGTGCGTAAAGGTTGAACTTAAATGAATTTGAGCGTCGACTTTGTTATTTAGTTGCAACGGCTTACATGTGTATGGATATTGGCCAGTTGGTTAGGTGCCACTCTTCACAAGTAAGAGAAGGTGTTCAGAACGTGAGAGTACGACGATTTCAGCGTGTGTGATCTCAATCAAGGATAGTATAGGAATCCTTGTGTCGCATTGAAATTTATCCACAAAAATTTGTTATATTCTTTTAGAGAAGTTGCTCGAAGGATTTTGCGCCCTATGAAGGCAAGTGCTCTCCTCGACCCTGTTATTAGTAAAGGATCACAAGGCGAATTCAAGTTTTATGAAGATTTAGGTTTAAGAAGCACTCAATTACGGTTTGATATGAAGTATTGGATGTTGGATGATAAATTTAATCAAGGATGAAATTCTAAGAAGGATGATAAGTTATTCATGGATGATAAGTTATTCTTAAATGACTTTTTATTAATAGATGAAAATTAATAAAATGAAATAAAAGAATAAATAATAAATAAATAGATTGAATTAAATTAAGAGTTAAAAAAAAATTATGCATGGATTTTGTAAAAGAGTTATTATTATAAATGTGAATTATTAGTAGAGGTTGAACTTGATTACTTAAGTATTAAAGAAGATTAAAGATTGATTAATTTAGTATTTAAATAAGAGTTACAACTTGTGAACTTGCGTAGTGAATACAATTGTGGTGAATTAGGATAACTATCTAAATAATGGAGATTATTTTATCTTCCAATTGGATGATTTAAGAGGATTAAGAGTGAGTTGATTCAAAGTTCAATAAGAATTACAATTTCTAAGAATTTAATAGTTAATTCACTTATTATGAACTAGAATAAACTTCCAACTAATAGAGGTTTATTCTAACTCACAAAGAGCATATCAAACAAGCTACTATGGAGTCAAGATTCAAAGAATCAAGAAGGATTGATCACAAGTTTATCAAGGAATCTTTTGATAAGTTGAAGATTAGAGGGGGTGATTTTTTAACCAAGTTGGGGAGGGAGAAGTTTTTAGAGATGCTCTCCAAACATGATAGCATTGACAAGGAGAGTTTCTTAGAGCCTCAAATTCATCAATTAGAGAGATTGCTTGAGGATCATCAAATTTCTATGGAGAGGCTTAAGGTGGTAAGGTTGAACAATAAAGAGACATTTGATAAAATTCATTAATTGAAGCCTAAGCCAATTAAAGAAGGTGATTGGATTTTGGTTTATGATAGTAGTTTGATGCACCAAAATTCTATTCTTTGTAAGTTTGCAAGGCATTGATTTAGACCCTATGTGGTAGTTGAAGTGCACAATAATGCAATTTATTTACTTTGGGAGTTTGATGGAACACCATTGAAGATTAGGATTGTACGAAAGCAAATTAAAGTCTTCAAGTAGCAAGATGGGATAAATTACATTGAAGATTTAGAGGCTTTTGAGTCTCAATATTTTGATCAATGGTTCCAAAAAGATATGACTTATAATGACTCTGATTTTGATGATGGATGTATTGTGGCCTAATTCTTAGCACATATCAAAATATATGTAGGTTTAGAGGGAATAAATGACTTCACGCACTTAATTTAAGTGCATCAAAGATATTTAGAGGATAATTAATTCTACTTTTGAAGAGGCAAGAATATAATGCTAATATATTTACAAATTTGAATAGGATTTAGAATATGAAATTTTTGCTTTGAATGGATTATTTAAGCTTTGAAGGTATTTTTTTTTAGGATAGATACTCGACTCTATAGGGATTTAAGGTAGATATTAGAAGAAGGTTAAAAGGGGAGAGAGGGAAGGAGGAGAGATTTGCATCAAGTAGGTTTTTTTTTGCTTGAGTCGGAATTTGTGGAAAAAGGGAGAGGTCACTGGAATTTTGGAAACAACAATTTTCAAGACTAATTTGGGGTTTTTAATGCCATTTACTGAATTTTCATCTTTTTGTATTGAGGTTTGGAAGAAAGCTAGATCTTATTGTTAGTTTTCTTACAAGCTTTAACATGTAAGAAATAGAAGTGTGATGAAGGAGATCCCAGCAAATTTGTAGAAGAGGGGTTATTAGAGTTTTTGGACAATGAGTTTTAAGATTTGTTTGCGGTTTTCCATGCCATTTATTGGATTTTAATAATTTATATTGAGATTTAAAAGAAAAATAGATCTTATTGTTAAATTATCAAGAAATCTTAGTGTGCAAGAAATAGAGTTGTGATGAGAGAGAATCAAGCAAATTTGTAGACAAGAGTTTTGAGGGCTATAGCTACAACAAGAGGCTAACTTTTTTTAGGTTTGGTTCTCATTTTCTTTGAAATTTAATTGTTGACTTTGATATTTTGAAGTTTATAGCTTGTGTTAAGTCCAATGATCTAAACTTTGCCTAAATTGATTTAATAGTAAGTGAGTTATAGGTATTTTATTAAGAGGATGTTTGGATTTGAAATTAGAGTTAGGAATTGGATGCATTTTGGCATAAAAAAGAAATTAATCTAAAATTTGTATTCAACCTTTAAGATATTCTTTTATATTTGAGTTCATTTGGATAACATTATGCTTCTTATAATCCACTTGCAATTAAGAACTCCGTATTTTCTTGAAGAAGTTGGCCTTTTTGATAACAACAAGTAATATTAAATTATTTTTTAATATATTTTGAATAAAAAAATATATATGAGGCTATTATTTACATATATATCAATAATAGTATAAAAATTACTTAAATTATAATATATACGTATATTAACTTTAAAAAATATTAAATTATTTTTTTGAAGAATATATTAATATTTATTTATTTTTATCTATTTTTTTTTCTATTAAATTATCTTTATTTAAGCTTCTAGATGTTATTGTTTAGTTTATAGAATAATTTTCTTTAATTAATTTGTTAAAAACTTTTCAAATAGATAATATAAGTATATTTGGTGAAGTTGTTGTTAAGAAATAATGTAGCAATATCAAATTGTTATAATTCCATGATCCATGTTGCTGCTATTGCAAGTAAAGTATATATTGCATAATCCATTCAAGTGAAATATTTTCCAAATTACCTCTAGCAATTGCAAACTTCTTGGACCTAGACACATTTGTCATCTATGCAACCATATTGACAAAGGACCTTGTCATGTTTGTCTACTTTAACAAATGCTTGAATTGACATTGCTTTATTATTATAGTTGAAGATAATTCTTAATATGGCTAAGTATAAAAGTTGTTGGTCAATCGTAGATAAAAAAAATGTTGACAATTTGGCTTATAGAAATTAAAATTATTTATTCTACTGTAAACCTAGCTAAAAAAATATTAATGAAACATGAAATGTCTTCTTTTTTTTCATCAAAAGTCTTAAATGTGATGTACTTGATTATACCTAATACTTCCAAATTTATTTTTCAAGCATTTAATAAACATTTGAGAGGCTCAAATAATGGTATTTTTACGATTATAGTTAAATCTATCTCTATTGCTTGAGCTATTTGTAATAAAGAGGATAGAATACTATCTAAAATCACTACTATTTTTTTCTTTTGATTCCTTATAAAGATGCTCTAACTTTTTCTTTGAGTGGATCTTCTTCCTTCACCATATGTATTATAGTTAAAATAAAAATTTCTTTAAGAGCTAAAATAAGTTCTATTCTTACCTTCTATTAATATTTTATCTCTTGTAATTCAAGGAAATTCTCTTTATTCCATCTTTCATGAGTGAAAAGTGTCTCATGGTCCAAATATTGTGATATTAGCTCAAAAGTATATCACTCATTAAAAGTTGGAAACTTTTGGTATTTTTCTTTCATCTAAGTTTAAAATCAAAGCTTCCAATGTAATAAAAAAATACCTCCAACTTGTTTTGAAATTGATCTCTCATCATATTATTAGAGCTATGCTCTATTTTATAAAATATATCTATTATTATAATTTATAGCCTTTAGTGATATTTAATACCGAAATAGGCTAAAAAACCTTATTAATATCTTTTATTGGCTCAAAATCTTAGATGTGGATACTATCTAAGTAGTTTGACAAAAAGAATTAATAATATTTATTTTTAGTATGTACCATAAAAAATACTACTTGGATAATTGCAACTATCTAAAGCCTCAAAGGTAACTTGTACCTACAACCATTGCCAAGCTTTATAGTTCATCAATAATTACCTCCAAATTACTAGAGGTCCAAGAAATAAATAAACAAAAGGATCTTGATGGCCATAAACCTAACCTTATTTCTATTGTATATTTA